GTATATTTCTTCATACAAGACAGTATCCACATCCTGGACCCAATTAGGACAGGTCATTCGATTATTTACCAAGACAAAAATGTGTTAAATGTGTATTTATTATGTATGGTGCCGTTTTCTAATGGAGGAAATGGGATTGCCCACTGTTGGAAGTCGAACACTATTCAAGTCTCGGTATTATCAAATACCTACACATTTTGAATTCGTCGGTACAGAATATATCCTTTAGTGTTTTAGTTTTAGTTAGTAATTTGTTTCTGTACAATCAGCAAATGGCCCTACATGTTAGAATTCACGTAATACACAGTGGTAGTAGTTTGGGGATTATGTAAATTAACCGCACGTTAACTCAATTTAAATTTATCACAAAACTTAATGACACAAAATGAATAAAGTGCAAATTAAAAAAGTCTGATTGTTTGTGGTCCATATATTGTTCGTCTATATGTATGTACAGCAGTAAGCAACATTGTTCCATCATAATACTATGTCAAACACATGACTGTTAAGGTCATAGTCAGTAAAGTTCAGTACATGCTCTTGTCACAAACAACATTCTTAATCATAATCATATCTAACCGTAGTTATGATTGGAATCATCGAGATGGAATAGTATTATTGACTTGACGTACAACAAATTATATTTTATATAATATTCGAAAGATGTTCCTAATGTATATACCTTCGTCGTGTATTCTTTTATACATGGTCGGGACATTGGCCCTTTCTCCATTCATGAAATGCAATACCATTTGAACATAGTGAACGTGTATTGCATCGGTGGCTTGGATCAAAAGGATTTTATGCAATTTCAAAAAAACGTTAAATATTTACCCGGATGCTGCCGATATTGTCATTATCTTTTATAGGTTTTCTTATAATCATTAACACCGCTGCGTATATATGCGTCAGGCATGGTGATGCATATTCCCCGAGTATGCGTATGAACATAGATATTGCTTTTACTATGATTGAAACAATCTGGAAATTCAAATAAAGCATATATTATCACATCATCATGGTGCATATCATTCCCAGTTGTTAAGTTTAGTGTGACATATCAATAGTTGATATGGTACGGTAAACGTGTCAGTATTTACTTTAAAAGTCATGCTATGCTTGGTCGAACAATTTGCGGGGGAAACCAACCTTGCAGCGGTACATCTCTTAATGCAGCAATACGAGTGTTTCAGACTGGATAGCAACAATTACTCAAATGTTTCTATGACACTAACACGAAATAATTTCTATCAATAGAAGAGTAATATTCCTTTCTGCTGAGATTTGACAGCGGTCGACTGCGATTAGTGAAATACACGCCAACCTATGCGCTTAGACGTCATTTAATATTAACATGAATTAGCATATGATTCGTAGGCGTAGTTGAGTAAAATTACGATTTCTGTTTTATTGTCGTTGATCATGTAATAAAGGAATAGAGCTATAGAATGTATTTTATCCACTCGATTTCATATCACATTGGTGCAAGCCGCACTACTAGCTCTACGAACACGTAACATCGAGAGATATAACCCAATAATACTGACCTTTATTTCTAATTATAGTGAGAAGCCTCTTCTATGGTTAACCAATAAACATGTAATAACTGTGGCAACAATGCAACTTCTACATTATCTAGAGTATTTCTGCTCGCTGTTCTGATTTGTTTATTTGGCTACTGTAAAGTTCTGTTCGTTCCTAATAACAACTCACGACTGGGAATGCATAAGGTTCTATGTTTGTATTGTTGACGTTTCATATAGTACTCACGCATATACGAATGTGATGAATGATTGATCAACCCTTGTCAATAAAATAACAATCAATTGTTGCGTACCGTTTATTTTTTTTAATTCACATGACCTACATCTTGTTTGATACATTGCTACAAGAGAATAACTTACACAATCAACTATTCCAGACGTTATGTTGTTGATATAACATATCAAGTTAGTGTGTCAAATAATGTTTTAGTAAAAACAATACGGTACTCAAAAACCTACGTTTGAACTTACTTGACCAACTATAAACCTCAAATTACGTTAATTTGCCTAATCACTAACCAATTGCAAACTTAAAAATGATATGATAATTTCTAACCCATTATTTGTTTGTACAATTAAATTAAATAATAAACAATAATAAACATATATTTAAGCTTTAATATAAAAAGTATGATCTTGCAAATTTGTGGTTTAGGGATAGTGTGAAGCCAAGGACGTATTTAGTGGTTCCTGTGTTTAACTGATCTTTCACAACACATAATTTTATGATTCATTCGAATATACGCACTCACTGTTAGAGTTTCACTTTTATTACTGTACATTATGAGCTATATATTCATAGAAAGACATGTTAATAGTTTTCAACTTGATAATATCTTAGCTTTTACGGCTCCGATAGTTTATTCTTATTGTTCATTCGTGGCCGCATTCTAAAAACCATGAAACAATACTAAAGCAAGGATAGTAAACATTTGGCTCTCTTGCATTGTGTTCAAAACTGTGCCCTTGATTCGAGTATATATTTATCGGCTACATTATTGGCCACATACTATATGCCTTCTCTAAAACAACATTTGTCCACGACTGTTATTCGATAAACAACTCCAACTAATTATTATGTGTTCAAATTATAGCTATCATTTGAAGCCCTATAAATCCCGTGTATTTATAGGATTACTCTGTAATTAACCGAGTCGCATTCCCAGGAGCAATAATATGAATTATTTACATTTAGATATGTTATCACACAATGAAGAATCACACAAACCCATCACCTCACTGGGTACAATAAAATAACATCCCTGTGAAAACATCTTTAAACTAACAAAATCAATGTTTGTTGATAATAATACTCTATTCTTTGAAAGAGAGAATGAAACACAATGAAAACATGAAAATCTACACCGATTGGAAATTAAGTCAAACAACTGTACGCCATTTAAAAAAGACAATTAATGTACAATTGTCGAGGGGAAACGTGGCTTACATATGCACTGTTATTGTTATTTGAGGAAAACATTATTTCACATTCAAGGTCATCCTATCGTGACTGAATATTTTAAAGGTGTGAGTTTGTGCCCAAGAAACAATAAATGTCAAATTTATTTAAGTTATCAAAGCCATTGGCTGAATTGTAATAATTAGATGACGCAAGGCTCTTTAAAGAAAAAATCAAGACTAACAACATATGCCTATATGAGAGAGCTTGGCAAATGTAAGTAAATGCAATTTACAGTTTTTTTATATATTCTAGATATTCAACTTTTCATCAATTCACGTAGTCTACCATCTTAATTCGTCAGCAAAGGATTATGAGTAAAGTATGACATTATATCCACTGTTGTGAGAAATTGAGAAAATGATTCCATCTATAACTTCAAAAGTTGAAAGTTTAGAGGATACATGCATAAAAATTGTTGTCATGTCAACAGAACTGAAAATATTAATTTTTGTGTTTTTCTACCGATTGCTCAATTTTTCGCATATTTTATACAGTTATCGATGCAAGTATGTTGTACAGATAATATTTAATATGTTAACCACAAAAGGGGACAAAATGTTTCATTCCATGTAAAAGCAATGATTTTTATTTATTTTACGTTTTTGGCAATATCTTTACTTTTTAAACTAATTCACGTCAGTATTTGTTCACGTCTTTGATGACAGTATTTCCTCATTTTTTAACAACAGTTGATATCATGTCACACTTTACTCACAAAGTTTTGCTGTAGAATCAAGATGGCGGAGTACATAATACTGATGAAATGTTGATATCTAAAATGAAATCTAGAATGATTGAATGACTGAATGAATGAAAAGTGATATAAAAACTATAAATTACATTCTCATACATTTGTGGAGCTATTTAATCTGGAATCATTATGTTATTAGCCTTGACTTTTCCTTCATTTTTTCCTTATTCTCATTTAGTTAAATCTGCTCACATGTTATGGAATTTTCTTAGAGAAATATTTTGAAATTATCGTCAACATGCAAGAAGTTGTTTTTGACTCTAAAAGAGTTGTAAACATTGCGAATTCTGTAGAATTAGCTCATTCTACAATAACTGTATCGCATTTTTAGTGACTACATTTTAGTGACAAATCATTGTATCGGGGTATGACGCACAAAATACGTCTTTATGTCAAAAACCCGAACAAGGTAATGCAGCTCAACAGAAGCATCTGTGAATACGCAGCAAAACGAAATCGACTGACTATATTAATATTTGACTGAAAGTAAATAACAGAAAGGCGAAGAATCAATTTAACTATAAATATATATATATATATATTGATCGTATTGTACTTACTTCACTGCCAACGAAAATAGTACGTGTTAAATTGAAAAAGACAAATATTGTCATAATAATTGCTGTTCATAAGATATAAATTGTCTACATTTGCGTTATTATATGTATATATGTTCAATATAAATAGAATATAACCCAATATTATTGTCTAAACAAATTTAGCGACTTAAAGCACAGAGGAGTATGTCGTGATATATGCAGCGTTGCCATGGGTGAATTTCGAGTGAATAAGTTATTTTGTTACCATAGTAACCAGTCCATATTAAATGAACCTACGCATACAATACTGACCGGACAGTTGATCGTCCAATCAGAAGACATTTAGCGGTATTGAGTTGTTTATCGGAGAATCATTTGCAACTGAAGATGGAGCTATGATCAGTGTCTAATGCAGAGGAGTGCGTACTCGTTTTGAACCCATATGCATGCTACTGGACGCGAACACTGCTGTAATTGTATCTGTTGTCTCAAAGTCATATACTGTGAGTGGATTTTGAGCGCGGATCGATAAAGACGATTGACCTAATAGTTACGTTATTCCGAGGCTCGTAATACAAAGAAGGATTTCACAAACATGCACATACGGGTGAGTCGGACGCGAAAACATGTATACACAAGCATATCTACTTAGAACGAGCCGTTGAAATTTGAATTGTTGGACGCCGAAAGTACAACTTTGCAGCATGGATGAACAAAACCATACTTTTAGTCGTCTAAATGCCTATTTTGATGACCCTCATCATATCATACCTATGATTATGACTGTTGTGACAGTGCTAATTATTCTTGGTAATATATTGGTGATTGCAGTCGTATACCGAACCAAAGCATTTGCTAATGCCAGTGGCATGTTCATGACATCGTTAGCGTGCGCTGATCTCGGTGTTGGCGTGTTTGTGTCACCATTGTCGATTTACCCAGCCTATATCAACTACTGGCCGTACGGACACAGAGTTTGTACCATGGCAGCATTCTTCACCGAGCTCTTCTCCTGTATATCAGTCTGTTCTCTAGCTTTGATAGGCATCGATCGTTATTTGGCCGTATCGCAGCCACTTGCTTATAAAACAATTATGCCACCGGAAAGAGCCCGCAATGTCATTCTGGTAAAATGGTTTTTACTTTTATTGATGTGTTTGCTGCCAGTCTTTGGTGTTGTTGAAGTGATGTATTACGCCGATCTTTACATTTGTAACGTGGCATGGGAGTTGGAAATTGGATATGCTCTTGGCGTCTTTATACTGGTAATCATACCCAGTTTTGTAGCCGTGTTCTTCTGTTACTTTCACATATTTCGCATATCACACAAAGCAGCGAGACAGATAGATCAGCAGAGAGATAGCATACGCAACAATGTCCAGTCAAAGACGATTGGTAGTACAAGCAAACGTAAAGGTGCTATGATGTCGTTTATTATCATCGGCTCATTCTGTTTGTGTTGGACGCCTTGGTTAGCTCTGCAAATCCAAGAGTCGGTTGTATTTGCACGATCTGAAAGCACCGGGAGTGTCATCTCGGGACATCCACATTTGCCACAGGCACATTTTGTTACAATGTGGCTTGCAATAAGCAATAGCTTCTTCAACTGCGTTATATATTTTCTCTCCAATAAATCGTTCCGCAAAGGTGCCAAACGTATATTTCGAACCTTTGGCTTTATGGTAGTGTGTAAAGGACGGAAGAGTAACCGGGGTTCCGAGGCAGTAATTGATATCTGGTCGATAGCACCCACGCATCGTCGCGGCACGTTGGTTGTTGACAACTCTGTAGTTGTAACTTAATCAATTAGATACTATGCAGACGTTGTTGTAATAAGAATTAACAATGCGACCAAATACGTAGGACACTTTTTCTATGAATTTCCGATTTCACCTTATTATTTACATCATTTTATGTGGCACAATCGAAAATAATGTTTTTAAATATATCTTGTACGTATTTATCCGATATTTACACCAGACGTTAACACCTAAATTATTGTAAATGTTCAATGCTCATATTTTTCCACAATGTTCGGTTCATAAAAAAAATATAAATCATAATTTATGCCTAACACAGCACGTAATGTGACGTATTACTTGTATCGCTTTGTTTTTGCTCTAACTTTAACTCGAAGAAATTCGTATCAGCAATTTGTATGTCAATCAGTAATTTCGAGATAAATATCTCGAGAACAGTGGAATCGTTGCAACAAAGCATAAATCGAAAAGCATTCATTTGTATGTCTTGTCCGACACAAAAAGCATTAATATTTATAATGAAAGTTACAAATTAACATTCTGATAAGTGTATTACAACCTATTAATCATTACAGGTATGAATATTAAGATGGCACAGAAAATGATTGTATTGTATTGTTTTTGTTCGATTGTTATGATCACTAGTTCTAAGTTGTGTCATTGACATTTATTGTTACTATAATACGAAGATACCTCAAAGTATGCACGAAGACAGTACAGCGCCATTTCCTAATATGGTAGTATGAAAATACCCCGTAAAATACCGCAAAATTACGGCACGCTGTAACTTATGGTGTTACGGTGACTGACGTATAATAATAGTATTTATTTCAAAATGCTAGGGCTCTTTTAATTCTTCAATCAGGAATAATAATCATTTACATGCCATTTTAAAATATTTGTCCATGTCCGTTATACTTTCACCACAAAATATTTGTTATGGAATAAGTACACATGAGTACACATGAATCGCAGTCAGATGACCGAGTAATACAATACAACCAAACGTTGGATATAAAGTTGATTCTTCGCGAGATAGTATTCGAGCCATGAGCATAGAACCACTTTCAAACAAGTGATTGAAAATGACACAGTCCCCGTTAAAAATAAAGTTCTCTTTGTGCGCGTCATGTTAAAGCGGAGAGATTGTCGCGAGCGTGTCTTTGAAACTTGAGTTCGAAGTGGCAAAAACAACATTTGTTTATTTACATCAAATTCGAACACCTGTTGCGTGACGACCCCTTCAGTTTAGGACATAGCAATAAAAAAATCATAGATCACAAGTGAAAGTAAAACAAATTGAGGTGCATGTCTATGTTAATAAAACTTGTTTAAAAATTGTTTAAAGTATGTTTGAGAAAAGTCTGAGAATGGGAATGAGGCACTAAAATTACATTACCATACATCTCATAAATATGAATGCTTGTTGCCATGGTGCCCTACAATGACTCTTTACATGGGACTTACAATGTTAACATATGTGTAATGACCGACTTTGATATTCTTGGATGGGGAATACAGCAATTGCAACTTTTTGTAATTGTATTGTTAGTCTGGACTAAAGTGGCCAATAAGCCCTTTGTACAAGTCAAGCGCACTCTTGTGTCGAATAATATGATGATGGCAGTGTCCTCAAATCTGCAGTTTTAATAAATATCAGTTCAAAATAATGCGTTTAACGTTTGTCATATATCGCCTCTCAGATATGGTTATGGGGATATGAACGTTTTTAACATAATATACTTGTACATGCTGGAGGACGCTCAACTTGGAGGGAATATAGAAGAAAACATCTTGTGCATCTGCCAGCAATTGTGGTACAACTGCTGATTTTGGAGTGTAAAGCATGTGCAATGGGGACTGATATGTAAGCATTTCAGCATTTCTAGTTCGAGTCGAGTGATCGTAATTAAAAGCTCAACCACTTGGAGGGACATGTTTGTATTGTAAATGTGAAAGGAGGATATAACTGAAAGACAGGATTTGAAAATAAATATAAAATCTTTATTGTTACCTTAAACAAGAACATTTAACCAGCGACCTTGTGATTTTTGGAACAATTTATATCTAACACAGACAAAAAAATATATCAAAAATTATAGCCTGACATGTATAATCTATGTACCAAATTAAATAAATAAAACAAGATGGCTGCCACTCGGCCATTTTGAATTGAATCGCTAAACTACTGCATGTGCATATATCCCACATAAAAATACTATACACATACAAAGAATGAATTGAATCGGTCCAAAGGATTCTGAAATATGATTCCGGTTGAACGGACGCACAGACGGACGAAGACCGAATTATAAATCCCCGTTTTCGAACTTCGTTTGAACGGGGACTAATAAATTACGACACGAAGCGAAGTTTATTGTAGTACCGGTATATCAACAGTACATACCTCATATTTGGCTTGTTTACGTCCAATAGCCAACTGTTGCAATAGGTAGTGCGTAGTACAGAACATAAATGCTTGTATCCATCTAGCCCGAGACATGCAAACAACACAACCCAAAGTGCTTACCCATAATCGGATGTGGTTTGTACTAACATACAATGGTTCACACAACTCTAGTTGCAGTCACCAGCACGTGCCATCTATGTCTGACATGCAGTTTTCTTTATTTCCATATTTCTATAACCATTCTATATACCCTACATAGCTAAGAAAATCCCCGTCACCTGACCGTGTGTTTGAATGAATGAAATAATGAAATATGTATAAATTGCCGACAGTTTTAGCATTGTTTAGACAAATTTGACTTTTGAAGAACAAATACAGCCAGTATAATGTTTTGGAAAAATCTATGTTAATTGGTACAAATCATGGAGGATTCATGGAGGTTAATTCTTAGTTCTGTACAATCCCACAACACTAGAAATGCATGAATTATTGTGATGATGTCAGTGTCATCATGTAATGCATATGAAGGCCGGAGAACGCAAAGTAGCAATACTATATTGCCTGGAAATGACGTAATACAATGTCTGAATATGAATGGCAATGTTCAGTTATAATACAGTTCAATAAATGTTGTATAGTATAAGAAATTATCTATTTGGAGGAAATCGGTTTTATGTAAATATGAATGCTACTTCATCAGAGAACTATAGCTCCATGATTTACAACATATGGAACAAATGAAAAATACGTGCCTTCAAAAAAATATCACAGCGATGATGTGACTTTTTATTTCTGCCATCACATAATAGGGTTGAAGATAAAAAAAAACATATAGTTTTCATTGACATATATATATATTTCACCACATGAATAATACGAAACATTTCTAGCATAGACATTAATATATATACTTAGAAAGCACCTAATTCCAATCGAATAAAATCCAATGTAAAGTATCCAATCACGTCGTGACTTTAGCTGTGTCTTAAATTGAATGATTTTTATAAGTATAAATTGAATTAATGTGTATACTATTTTTGCTTGGTCATTTGAAGTGATCACCTTCTTTACAATCACTTACTAAAATATTCAATACAGTCAACGTATATGAGATTAGACAACAAGCCCACGGTGATTAATTCAATTCACTGCGATGTATTTGGAAAATAGAATAAAATACAACACCGAGTTGTCAATGCATGGCAGGACACATAGCTGATGAATTAAGACGAGATGTTTTATGTCTCTGTAAGCAATCACAATTCCATTCGTGTTAAAATACAATACAGAATTTGAGTGCGTGCATGAGTGCACGTTTTCAATGTACTCTAATCCTGACATGCCACATGCCGTTAAACATAACTGTAAAACAAGTAGTTGCCATGGATACAATATTGAATAATAGTTACTCAACACGACATTTTGTAAATAGGTTTATTTTTTATAAAACCGTTTCCGGTGATCACGCATACGATTGGCATAAAGTCAACGCATGTCGCAGTCTGATTAGGTACTATATTATGTTACAGGATTTTCTAAATAAATACAATCGTACGACTGGTCATATTTTCACTACGAATTAGAGTATTTGAAATAGCTTTCATATATATATATATATAAATGTTGATGTATAACCATGTGCAATTGTCATCCTCTGCATACAGTCCCGTTAACAGTAACTGTATTGAGTAAAGACAAAAATATCAAACGTGAATGTATTTATTGAAACGCGAAACAGATATCGGCGGTCATTTATATCTCTGGAATATACTTAATTGTAAACCCCAGTACGAGAACAACATTATTTCAATATGCTTTATAAGAAACAAATAGTGTCATATGAATTTAAAACTGCCGGTCTCAAACTTCCTAATTATTATATACTGGCACAATGTGCTTGAATAGGCGGTTCTTTGTTTAGTTGACTAATTTACCAGTGAAGAATAATTAGTTGAGTCCTTGGAAATGCAATGTTGTTATCAGTTAATTGAGCTAATTCGTTACTTCTTGTGGAAATGTAAAGTTAATTTAAGATGTGTAGGCATTCTAAATTATATTAAGATCGTATCACAACAATGTGTTGTTCAACTTTTTTCATCAGACATTTTTTTTAAATAGTAGGAATACTACTATTGGCTTTTTTTCGTTGTTCGTCTTTTCTATGAGTTCGATTTTTCGCTGTGCCTTTATTAGACAGTTCTCTTTGAAACTGGGTCTCGGAATTTGTATGTGCTTCATAGTTCTGGAGGTATAGACCGATGAGCTGTGAACGTGTTTACCCATTTACCGTGCAAAGTAAATTTGAATGTTAAAGAAAGTATAAAATATAATGTTTAAGAATCTGCATTTTTTTTAAATGTTTTGGTTCGTTTACCCTTCTCGCTAATTCAATTCAATTCAATTCAATTCAATTCACTGAAATGTAAGTTGAAAACAGCGTACACTATTTCAACACAGTCAAATTTGAATTATGAATAAAACACAATATTATAAATAGAAAGCATTAGTTTACGTCAGTGTCACAAAGTTAATCAAGCAACGCCATAATATCAGTAAAGACTTAAACTTTATATCACGGCATATGTACAGCTGTGACACACCCACATACAAACACGTGACGGTGACATCCACT